GAAAGCAGCATTTGTCTTATCAAACTTAAAATAAATGTACTTACATATGCAAATATAAGTTAAATGTTTATAAGAGAGAATCACAATAATGTCTCTTTTGTAGCACCAAGAATGCAAGAATGGAGTCATGAACATAATTCAAGTGTGGATCAACACCAACATGGTATGTTACTTTTTATCTTTGATGCAAAATTTGATCATGATAGAGCACTAGTGGCTTCAAGTCCATTTTGAAAACCTCAATTTATAAAGTGCTATTGTGAGGCCTGAAAAGGTTTTTTTTTTTGCATACAAATTTTAACTTTTTTGCCTAGAATCAGCCTGGACAGCCAGTGACAATGGAAGCTGGACAGATACCCAAAGACAAAATTGTAAGTAATGTTAAATTGGGTACTCCATCCCAAAAATTTTATTTTCTCATTATTTACTCAACCTCCTGCCATCCCAGATGTACAAATCCAATCTGAAATGGGGACGTTTTGTAAAATGCAATAAAATCAAGTCTGTGAAAATTAAAATCGGTTTAGTTTAGTTAAAAGGTCTTGCTGCAGAATTCCTGCAAGTACAAAGAAAAGATTTACAATGTGTTTACTGACCAAATGAATTGTTTTGTAAATGTAAACAAATTTTGAAATTTGTGATAAGCCATGATCCAGCTTTGCTTGCAAAGACTAAGATGCTCCTTTTATACCCAAACATGATACCCTCACCTATTACCAAATGACCTGCCTGTGAACTGTTTCAAAACAGTTTAATTATGATATTCTATCACGTTTATTTTGCCTCTCTCAACTTTTTTTGAAGTGTATTGCAGCCATCAAAATTAAAATGTCTTTGTTTTTACAAAATGCATTTAAGTTGGTCAGTGAAAGCTTTGTAAGTCTTTTCTTTGTACTTTTGTAAATTAAATAAAAGACAAAGACAATTAACAAACCACAGATTCTCAATTTCATGGCATTTTAAAACATCCCAACTTTTTCTGATTTGGGGTTGCATATATGACCTTTTCTCACTTCTGTGGAACACAAACTGAGATTTTTAGAAAAATAATCCACCTCTGTGAGTCTAAATAAAGCAAGTAAATAGGACCGCAAAGTTGATTTGTGAAAAAAACACTAAACAAACACAACGTTAATCCATATGACCCCAGTTGATGAATCAGTGTGTTCTGAAGCAAATTGATAGGCATATGTGAGAAAAATACTATTTTAAACATGATGCAAGCATAGAGGACCACTACTTATTGCAAGTGTTTTGCTTTAGGATACATTGATTCATCAACTGGGGTCATATAGATAACCATCATGTTTGTTTTTGAAGCATTTCTGTTCATTAGAAAAAACAAAGTCATGAGTCTTTTTTCATGTTTGAGTGGAGTATCCCTTTAAGTATTATTATTATTATTTGTATGTGTACTGTATGTATGTTTTTTTATTTTTTTTACTTGCTCTGTTTTCAGATGACTTCAATTCAAATGGGCAAAATTGTACATCAAATAACAGTAAGTAATATTAATAACTCCATAATATTTATAAGAGGTTTTATATTTTATATAAACCTTTATGTATATATATATTTATTTATTTATAAAATATCAAACCAACAGAAGTTCTTACAAACTGAAATTATATTACAGATTTCCAGTTAAATGTCCTCATGAAACTGGATAAAATAATTGCAAAACAGGAAGAGCATTCTCTTTTGCTTCGGCTCTTTTGCTACTGCAGACAAGAGAGGAAGACACAGGGCCAGAGAACCCTATCCCATCTACTGGTCAGTTACCTGACTTGCTCTCCTTTGAGGATAAGCTGAGGGTGGACGAAGAGCTCCAAAGAAAAACGGTTAAGAATTTGACACTTATTTGCAGCTGAACTGTTCTGTGTGAATGCATAGGATTTGACAATTCCATTTAAATTAAATTCAGGTCAAATACCTTTCTACAATAGGAGGACCAAACTATGGAGAGACAGTGCGGCGAATCATGAGAAAAATCACTTCCTCAGAAGTTTGGTCACAGTTTAGCCTCAAAGGAAAGAAGGGGAAGAGGAGACTTGAAGAACTCTGTTTATCGAGTTCTAATAAGTATAAAAATCAATAGTATTTGCATTTATTTTATTGTATATTATATTGTATTTTCAATTATCTTAGATTTAATATCAAGAGGCATTGCATTATAGTGACAGCATTCTACATGATTGGCAATACAAATGGGATGAATACCTGTTTGTTCAAATGTAAAGTATACTTGTTCATCTCTAAAAACTTTACTTAAACCATTTAGGGGCAATAATGAAATCACAACCTGGGTCTACTAGCATGGATGCTGAAAGCCAGATTGCAGAGACCCTTAAACATGCACCAGGTCTGGTTAGGAGAAAGGCTAATGTGAGTATTTTGACAATGTATTATATTACTGACAATATGTAT